GCGAGATCACGCCTCAGTCTATTACTCTGCTTGAATGACAGTGGCTTTTAAAACACTAATGGAAAATAGTTCTGTTCTTTAATAGCAACTAAAATCTGTCTTGCTGTCATCTGTATTCCTCTGCTCAGGGAAGATCCATTTCCAGTGTTTTTTTTTCTCAAAAATCAATATGCAGAATGGAATTTGCAATAAAAAGTTTCCAAAACTGGTCCTGTGTGCACAGTTCCCTCTGTCCTTTCTCCCTTTATGGATGAGCTTTGCAAGCCCGACCTAGAACATGGACGCTGACGGCGCAGAGGTGCTTAGCCCGTAGCTGGAACCGGCCTTCCCCCGTGCCCTTGCACATGAAAGGGTGAACTTGTAGAGGAAGAAGCCTTTTTGTATGGCTACTGTTGTCAAAGCTAGGTTTCTGAAGGGGGCAGAATTTAGGTAGCACTTAAGGCACAGTTATTTAAAACTTGAGACTTGCAGACATCCCTGCCTTGATTTCCTTTCACCCAGGACGTGCCAGCTAAGCAGGCATCTGCCCAGAGACACTGCCAGCAGGGGCGGCTCCGTGGCAGAGGCGAGCGTTCTCATGGCCTCTGTCTCGGCAGACACTGTGTCTTCCCCGAGCGTACACCCACGGACCAAGTTCCACTCTGGCAGCGAGACCACAGGGCCAGCTGGGCCGGGTCCCTGCGAGGGCACAATGCCTGTCCTTACCCTCCGCTAGCCCAGCTCCGTGGTCCCACAGAGCCACTGGGGCCGGGGGTCTGTACCAAACCGGTCCAGGTTTGTCTCCTCACAGGGCTCTCATCTGGGAGCTCCCAAGCCAAGGTGAAGGGCACTTGAGAAGACAGGTCACCAGAGATGAAACCACCACAGGGTGGAAAACGCTGTAGCTCCAGCTAGATGTTTTGAAAAGTCACCAAGGCGTTTAGAACAAACGGATTTCTTGATGTGACAGGCACACAAAAGCGCTCATAAAGTGACCAAGTTAAAATGAAACCATTTTTCCTGTCTGCTTCTCAGATTTTTTTTTTTTTAAAGTTTATCTTGAGAGCGCATGTGCGAGCTGAGGAGGCACACAGAGAGACGGAGGGCCCCACACTGGCCGTGCAGAGCCCAGCGTGGGGCTCAAACTCACCAATAGTGAGATCGTGACCTGAGCCCAAACCAAGAGTCAGAGCTTAGCCGACTGAGCCACCCAGGCACCGTGCTTCTCAGATTTGGAACAGTCATTTTTTCAGGTTTTCTGCTGGTGCACAGACAGTCGGTACCTAAGTTCGTGGTGACACTGAGCAGTTTGAGTAATGACGGTCTTGGGTATCAGGAGTGTGAGTTCACCAAACAGGTCTCTAGCCCAGCTGTGCCTGAGACACAGGCTTTGAATCCCCCACCGCCACGACAGAATCAGGCGCGGTTAGGTTAAAACTCTAAAGGGACAGCTTAGCTGGTGTTCATTAAAAAACACAGTTGAGTGTATCATATACCTTTCTCCTTCCGTTCCTTGGGACACCTCCTGCCCAAACTGCCCGTTTCCCATGATTATCAAGCAAGAGGGTAAAAAAAAAAAAGAAAAATCTCAGTAACTAAATGTTCTTTGTCCAAGAGGGACACTGGGAGCATAGGTCTGGCTGGGTTTGCCTAGGTCAGGAAGGCAAAGGACATTCTCTGCTGGTGCAGGGCTGGGGAGTGGGGGGCTGCCACAGCTACCCACTCTACCCCATGTTCCAGAGGGAGCACCCAACTCAAGTCTCCAGACCTCTGCAGAAATCCATACAGCTTCAGAAATACATTAGAGACCCTTCCAGGAAGCTGAACGGCACTGAGCATGCCTTTATGAAACCCTGGGTCTGGGTATTCGTTCAATAAATAATTGAACATCCACTATGTGCCCGCATAGTATAAAAACAGGATCCCTGCTCTCCGAGCCTATAGTTTCCTGAGGGGCTTCTCCTTGAACAAACAAGCACAAATATATTATCTTTTTTTTTTTTTTCTTTAAGTTTGTTTATTTTGAGAGAGAGCAGGGGAGGCACAGAGAGGGAGAAAGAATCCCAAGCAGGCTACAAATGCATGATCTTACACACTGAAAAGTGCCACGAAGGGAAGTAGATAATAGGACTGACCTGTTTAGAAACCCAGGGGGGCTGAGATGGGAAGGATTCAAAGTGAAAAGCAAGACAAAGAGGAGGCATCCAGACATGAGCTGTTCTAAGGAATAAGAGCTTAGAAAAGCCCTGCAGCCGAAGCACAGAAACGAGGGATAGAGGATGGAGGGAAATTAAGTCAACAAGACCAGATGGAGCCACATCACAAGGAGACTGGGTCTCCCTGGGTGCAGTGGGGAATGAGAGAAAGTTCTGGAGAGCATGCAGTGGTCCAAGGAGACCAAGTTCAGAGAAGAGAGGACGATGGCTCTGCATGCGGTGGGGGAGGAGGACAGACAGGTTCAAGAGGCATATTTAGGAGGCACGACTGAAAAGTGGGAGTGTGGGAAGGCCCTTGGCTCGGACAGCTGCTTCAAAGGCTGTGGCCAGAGCCAGGTACCTGAGCTACAACAAAGCAAAACCCCCTTTGCTTCTGAGCTCGGTTCTGCACCCCCAGCCCCTCAGGGCACCCCTGCATAACTCCCGAGCCTAGAGCTCTTTGAGTGGGTGCTGCAGTGAAAGAACATTCAGAATCAGTGTCTGAACACAAGTAAAATGCATACAGATGCTACATTCCGACAAGGCACTGAGAGAGCAGGCCCAAAGGTGCTGTCATTAAAGAGCCGGCACCTTCATAATCACCTCTATATAAAATTCCTCAAGACAGCCCACCTTACCCATAGAAATAATGACCGCACTCCAATCTTCATTAAGATGCAGTGAGTGGAAACCTATTTCCCAAGACCTGAAAACAGCTGAAGGCTCACACAAGCATCTAAATGACATCTTCCCGTGAAACACTCAAGTCAGCATGGATTCAATATTTATTCATTTTTACAGGCACTCTGGCATCGTGTAAGTGAAGATGATGGACATGCTGTAAATTGTACTGTCAGGGGAAAGGCCTGCCTTTGACACTCCCATCCACCTCAAAGGCTGAAGGACGAATCTGCTACCCTGTGTGCGTGGGAAGCACACGCGGACACCAGGCGTCTGCGCAGGAAGGCCAGCCCCCGCCTCCCCCATTCCAGCACTACCCAGAGAGGCGCTCTGTATTCATAGAAAAGGATGTTCCTGGCCATTCAGGGACATCTAGGTTTGGCCCAAAGCATCCCCGCTCGTCCCCCACACTGACCTTCGCCCCTGCCCTGGGCCAGAAGCAGGAGAGACCACAGCACATCTGCCTGCTGTTCGGAGCCATCTGATACCTGGACTACTTCCCTGGTATGGAGCATAAAGAAACCCACAATGAAATGCAGTCATTATTCCAAAGTTTGTTTTTATTTCAAATTCACTGGAAGAAATAAAATTATATTTAAAAAAATAGAGTAATCTCACAAACTGAGGAAAGCCAGAACAAAAGAACAAGTTAAGGGCTTTTTCCTGAGAGGCAGATCTAACAGCTATAGAATGGACTTTCTCCTCCCTAGCTTTTGTCCAACAAAAAATTGCTTCCTATTTCTAAGGCATCAAAAAGCACTCTGAGTGCTAACTGGGTGGTTCAGGTACAAAGTTTCAAGCCCTCTAATGAGGATTAAGAAACATCAAAAGCTGATTTCTTTTAATACCAAATATTAAATTGCACATACTACCTTTTTTTAAACATAAATTTCAGAATTTCACACTCGTGACTCAAAGTTCAAAAATCTGATCATATGCTGTTAACGTCTTACTACTTCTTAGTAAGAATCCTAAGTATCTAAGCTCACATCCCAGTAACTGAAAGGGGCCAGACAGCAGAAGGGCTCCAATCTCTGCACCTGCAGCCGACGCCGGCCGGAGAGCGCCCATCTTGGGAGACTCGGATGTAGCTAGAACGTCATATGAGAGCCTAATTCCTAAACTGCTGGACCTGCCCGCAAAGGCAGACCAAATCCTAACGGTTCATATGTAACCTACAGAACAAAGTTACACAAGTCATTTTACAATTCCCAAAGCTCTAAACTTAGCCATTCCCCACACTTGGTTTCCCTCACTTTTATACTGAGAAATCTATCAAACTCAAAACTTTCATTCCCAAACACTCCAATAAGACAGTCAAGACAATGGTTAACATTTTTGTTCTACGCATAAAGGACTGTTTGTGCTAAAGTTCTTGTTTGCATAGGTAACAGGAAAGCTTAAATCAACTTTTCCAAAAGTTTAAATCTTATGTTCTGATTTATCAAGCGCACGCCCCAGTGATTTCCCGAAAGCTTCTTTTTCCAAGATAGTAGGTCAATTCCTATAATTGGTAACCATAAATTCCAGAGGGACATCAACTTCTGAAACACATGTTTTAGTAAACAAGAGATTTAATGTAACATCTTTCTAGGTGCTCAAAGATTCAAGTGGCCTTAACTGTACTTCTAATAAGGTTAATTATATAACATCGGTCAGAAATTAAAAATTCAGTAGGATTCTGGGGCTATCTCCTAGTTAGGCAATAAAATCCATCAACCTGGAAGTACACGGATACTCCAGCCAAGTACACTGGGGTTGGACCTAACAGAAACCCCAATCCTGTCACATGGCTGGCCAGGGAGTGAAGCCTCCGGGGACGGTGGCTCTCCTGGCACAGCACTGGGTCCTAGTCACATGCAGAAGAGGCTCATGGACTCAGTGCTGGCTTTGCTGAGTCGCGGGCCACTGTGCTATTTTCACTTGCCCAAAAGAGCACGGTCCAAGCTGAGGTGCAACCCGAGTTACCTCCTGGTCCTAGTGCGGAACGGAATGGCCAAAAGGTTCGACGTGGCCAAAAGGTTCAAATGAGCTACCTGGCAACACAAATGTTTAACCAGAGGTGACTCAGACTCTTGTCACCAGCCTAGACTGACACTGACACACACACACTGACACACAATCAAATCTGAGCTAGAATTGTGCTAAAAAAAAAAAAAGAAGAAAAAAAAAGAAATCAACATGGACAATCAAAACTACTAACACTGATACAAACCAGACTCTAGAGATTCTCAACTTTAGTAATTGCCATTTTTAGTCTCAACAAAAATGTCAGTATCCTGAGTTTTATCAGTATTTTCTTTCTAAAATAATTTATGGGACACAAAAGCATACGAAGGAACGAACAAACAGAAGCAGTGGTACAAAAAGTCTAGAATACAGCCCACTAACTAGAAAAAGAAATGTCACAAGAACAATATAAAAGGATGTATTTACGTGAAATAAATTAAAGGTTAAACCTTACACTTTCAAGTTTTCTTAGACTACTATTTTGGGAGATGGCCTAGAGTTGATGACATATTTTTCTAATCATCACTTGGTTAGGATCAAATGCCAAACGATCCTTACCAAGACATTTTCACCTTTAAAAATCATGGCCCCACTGCAGATACATGGACACAGAAGAAACCACCTAAGTCCCAACTGGTAAACAAGACATTCTGTCTACTAACCTATCAAAATGGGAATTTAAAAATGCTTACCTGACTAGCATCTACAGAAACAAAAATTTGGTACACAAGTTCCTCTAAACCAGAGTTGTCTTTTGGTTTGTTGTTGTTAGAAAACAAAATAACGCCAATCCAATAACCCAAAGGTATCCCAAAAGCATAATTCTAATATGCTTTACTCTTATTTTTAAAAAACCTATTTGCCTCCTAATTATTTGTATTTTTAAGCCAACTGGCTGTATCTGGCCTTTAAAACACAACAGGGCTTACTTGACCTGGCACTGCTACTCAAAAACTTGTACTTGTTGGGGAAAACAGTACTAATTATGCTAAAACAAGGTTTATGCTATACATAAAATCACTCCAAATCACAAAGTGATTGATTTCCATAGCCCTAAGGATTTATAGTACATAATTTAGAAAAAAAATCACAAATCAACCAAATGGCATTCAACGTTCTTAGTCCAATTAACCATCTCCAGTAAAACCAAGAACCTCCTGCAGGCCCTGCCAGTTCCCCGTTCCTTTTATCAACCTAGAAAAGAAACATTTCTTGGGAAGTGAGGATTTATTAAGAACATCAAGGTCCAGGACTTTTTTTTTTAACCATATACCTTAAAAATCTGTTTCATCCCCACAAAAATCCATATCATTTAAACCTAGATATTCAAATTACACGGCTAACATTTTTAGCTAATCAACTCATCAGTGCTGATCCTAGAAAACACCCTTCAACGGATCTTTGAATGATGGAACAAGACAACGTGCGGCCATTGACACGAGTGGCGTAGGCAGTCACACCTTTAACGTTGCAGCCACCAGCTGGCAACTCGGAAGGGGTGAGGTCTACTGTCCTGCGTTATCAGGAGTTGTTGTATTTTCAGTGCTACCTGGTTGCACGTTATCTGCAAGGTTGTGTGCGTGCTCAAGAAACAAGTCTTTCAGTACGCTTAATTCCTTAGTCAGCAATTTAATTTTTGCCTCCAACCGTTCATTCTCTTCTTTGAGCTGATTCACTCTCTGCAGTGTATCCTGTGCCTTCTGCTTGCTTTTCAACCGGCTCTTTTTCACAGCCATGTTGTTCCTCTCTCTGCGCTGACGATACTCGTCACTGTTTCGATCCATGGGCGAACTCTTTTTGCTTTGCTTGCTGGGAGGCACGGCTTTGCCTCCTCCCCCGGGGCCAGCAGGCACCAGCTGAGGAACCTGCTGCAAGCCGCTGGCATGAGCCTGGGTGTGAATAACACTTATTGCGGGAGTACTGTTCTGCTGTGCTACCTTGCTCATTTGGGCACACTCTCTTGCTGACACGGAACAGGTAGAAATGAGGGCAAGGTGATCAATGGTTTCCAACTAAGCTGCCAAGAAATCTTCACATGTACCTAGTTAAAAAATAAATTGCATTAAAATGTTTGAAATGACAAGATCAAATGAGATTAAACTTGCAAGTACCTAACAGCAGGCCAACATTAATTGATTATGCTGAGAAAAGTCTACAGCAACTGCCAACTGCTCCAGTGGTTCAGAAGCCTAAATCATTTCATGTAGAAAGGTGAGTTAGTACAGAAGCACCACAAGGCCAAATCCAGCCCACCTGAACCCCTGAGGGTACCGCCCATCTGTGACCGTATCAAAAATGGAAGGAAAAACAAAAGAACACCGCTAATTAGGTAGCACAAAGGAACTAATAGCACTTGGCAATCTGCCAGAGAGAAATGAGCTGTTTGGGTTAAACATGGAAAACCTGAGTTCAATTATGACAGGAGCGATACTTGCAAAGAAAGGGGGGGGGGAGTTTCGGTTGTCGGCCCGCGTCAAACAGCGTAGGAGCAGCGCAGCGCTCAATCCCCACTACTCGTCAGGGTGGCCGCAAGCTCCTAACGCCAACACACAGAGACGGAGTCACGAGGACTGGACTCTCCTCCCAGAGTACATCTTTATGGGATATTCTGAAAAGGGGGAGAGGAGGCTTGTTTTAATTAATTAATTTATTTTTAAAGACCGCAACAGTAAGTAGTTAGTTATAGATTTCCTAGGCTTATTTCTTGGTTCCTAGATTTAGGAGCTCTGAGGAGACTTAGGAGCTCCAGGTTGCTGACCGGCCCCCCCCCCATGCTTCTTCTACCAGTGCTGCTTTTCTTCTTCTTGATATAATAAACACATCTAAACACAGGCAACCTGAACCACAAGGAAAGACATCAAGGCCCTAAAGATGCATCCAAGGCACAACAAGCATGGGGCAAAGGCTAAACAGAGAGACTGAGCAGCAGCAGTGCCTGCACCTGCTGCACCCCGCAGGGGGGCCCATGGGAGACGCCAAGTCCGAAGCATAACTTCAGTGCTGCCCGCAGAAATGAAGCCACGGTTTGAGATTCTGGTTGCATATGGATGATTAAGAGTCCAACTAGGTCTCTACAGTTGCCTCAAGATGTGTCAAAAGCATACCTATCACATCCTAAGGCCACGTCAAGACAAACTAAGATGATGAAATCAAAGCACTCTTGGAAATTCAGAAAGCAATGTTATGAACCATAAAACTATCCTGTTTTCTTTTCACAAAACTGCTAAAACTACATCAGTGGAAAAAAACCCAGAGCCAGAATTCTGAAATGCCTCGAGTGAGTACATCTCATAGATCTTAAGCTCAGTTCGTAAACACCAGAATCTTCACCCAAAGCTTTAGCTGGCCATTTCTGTATAAAACATTGTTTACTGGTCTGCTTTTTAAAAATCTTTCCTTTTAAAAAGGCCGTATCTCCTTACTTTCCATGGTTTCGAAAGCCAGGCAGGCAGCTCTGAGCTAGTGAGCCATCTGTTCTCACTCCAAAACTAACGCAGAACAGAAAGCTTCCTTCCAAACCATGGATGGTATCAACTCCAAGTCTATCCAGTAATGAGCATTTCACAATCTCCTTTGATAATGTACTATGTTGCCTATTTTTTCTTCCAGTTAAACAGTGGCAGTTCAGTATTAATTTGATCCACCTTGCCACTAAAAGTGTTAGTGGCCGGCTACATTATTGCGTATTTATTTGGTGTAAAGTGAGCATATTTTAGTCAATTTTTAAAAATGTGTTTAACACTTCTCCTGGGATCATTTCAACTATCATGATGTCATCTTATTTAACTTTTTTATTTTTCATATGCCAATTATGTTTTTAATCTTTAAAACTAATCTATAGACAACACAAAGATAAAATGATCCAAAGAAGTACAGACCAGGAACCAGGTCAATATTGACTTGGCTCTGGCTCCCCCTGTTTTGCTCTGAACCCATCCCTTCCCTTCTTGGGCCTCCATTTCCCCATCTGCAAATGAGGGATATAGAATGGTAAGATGCCTTCTGACTTTGAAAATATACCATGAACTTCAGTCACTAAAAAGTCTTTTCTTCCCGCCTTATGCGTTGCTTTTTATGCCCAAGTCACTAAAAACTTTTAATGGAGGCTCCAAATTCAGGGACATTCGTGTCCCTTTTGGCACCCACAGATACAAGAATAGGGAAGAGCTTTTTTTTTTTTTTAATTTTTTTTTTTAAATATTTTTTATTTATTTCTAGGAGAGAGAGAGAGAGAGAGAGAGAGAGAGAGGGTGAGCAGAGGAGGGTCAGAGAGAGAGGGAGTCACAGACTGTAACACAGGCTCCAAGCTGGCAGTCAGCACAGAGCCCGATGCGGGGCTCAAACCCACGAACCGTGAGATCATGACCTAAGCGAAAGTCGGACGCTTAACCGACTAAGCCACCCAGGCGCCCCTTTTTTTTAATTTTTTAAATGTCTATTTTTGAGAGAGAAATAGAGACAGTGTGAGCAAGGGAGCATCAGAGAGAGAGGGAGATACAGAATCCGAGGGAGAGGGAGATACAGAATCCAAAGACAAGCTCCAGGCTCTGAGCTAGCTGTCAGCATAGACCCTGATGCGGGGCTCGAACCTGTGAACTGTGAGATCATGGCCTGAGCCGAAGCCAGAAGCTTAACCGACTGAGCCACCCAGGCACCCCGAGAAGAGCTCTTTTTACCTCAGTCTGACTCATCTTGCTGAGGTACTAGGCTGACCATAGTAGGGGGACTTTGAAAATGTGCCCTTTGGCCCGAAAAACAAAGAGTAATTATCAAATTGGTAAAAATGGAAGCAAGGGAAACTTAGAAAAAATAAAAAGAACTTGAAATATGTTGTTGTTTTACACTTCCTCAACCAACCAAAGCCAAGAAAGTTTAAGTTTTAAGTGAAAAAAATATCCATTAAGGAAAATAAATCAAGTAAAGGGGGTCAGAGCCAAGTAGTCCAAAAAAGCTAACTCCAGATTATCAATCCTGTTTTTACACAGGCAAAAACAGCTGCCTCCAAAAGTTACACACTTTACAGTTTACACTGTCACTAGTGCTCTCTTGTTCCTTCCACAAACACTGAGCACCTACAACGGGCAAAAAGAATATGAGTTCATTTCAGATCTGGATATTCAATTCTAAATGAAAGTCTGGCTCCTACGTGGACAAATACAATTCCAAAGTTCATTCTACAGGAAGCAGGGCGGCGCCTGGTTTCCTTGCATGCGAATCACGGGAGCAGGGAGGCGCAGAGAGGCTGACAGAGAGCTGACCCGGCAGTAGTTATCACATGTGGACCAGCAGCAGCAGCGTTTGGGAACTTGTTAGAAATGCAAATTCTCGGGCTGCCCGGATAGAAGAATCGGGAGCTCCAAGAATAGGGCTGGGCAATCCTGTTTTACAGGGACCCCTGAAGTGATTCTGTTAACAATGAAGTGTGAGAGCCACTGTTGCAGATTAACAATGAGGAGGTAACTTTTTTTTTTAAATTTAATTAGTGTTCATTCAAATCCCCAACACACTGAAACACTGGAATAGTCAGAATGAGTAAAACAAATTTCTCTCAAGTTTCATTTGGGAAAATAAACTTGTCAAGAATTTTCCTAATCGTCCCGTCTTTTTCACATGTCAACAACCAGATATCCCTCCCCATGCCCCCCAAAATAAAGCTTTAACTCAGATTTCCTCAGTGAATGTCTACACTCCAAAATATCCATAGATGTTTCTCCCTTGCACCAAATCTTTACAGTCACTGGTATCTGAGAACTCTACCCACCCACCTCCCCAAAGAACTCACAAGCCACCCTCCCTCCTCTCCATCCCAGTGCCACAGAATGACCTCAGGCTGACATCATCTCTCAGGGGCACTGGTCTCCTCTGGTTTAGCAGTGTTCCCTCCAACCACTGGCTCCGGAGCAATCTGACACTCAATCGTGCTCCAGTGTACAGGATCAGACCGAAGGTGTTCACTCTCCAGCCCTCGCTCCCGTATACTTCACACCGCAACAGCGCCGAACCACTACCAATCCCCTAAAGGGCCATGCATTCTCTTTTCTTTTTCTTTTCTTTCTTTTTCTGCTGTCCAATGTGTCCCCCTAGTTTCTCTGTCAATGCCAGGTCTCCCTGTAGACTAAGCTAGAGGCTTAGTCTTCATGTCCACATGCTGAGCATCTAGTCGTGCAGGGCTAGCCATACAGTAGTGGTGCCCAAGAAATAGTTGTCGAGAGGCTCCTGGGTGGCTCAGTCAATTGAGCGTCCCACTCTTGATTTCAGCTCAAGTCTTGATCCCAGGGTCATGGGATCGAGCCCCACATCGGGCTCTACGCTCAGTATAGAGGCTGTCTAAGATTCTTTCTCGTTCTCTTCTCCTTTTTCTCCTTCTTCTCTCTCTCACCTTGCACTCTATCTAAAATAAATAAAATGAAGGGCGCCTGCATGTCTCAGTAGGTTAAGCATCTGACTTCAGCTCAGGTCATGATTTCACGGTTCATGAGTTTGAACCCCGCATCAGGCTCTGTGCTGACAGCTCACAGCCTGAAGCCTGCTTCGCATTCTGTGTGTCTCTCTCTCTCAAAAATATATAAACATTAAAAAAATTTTTTAATAACAAAAAATAAATGAAAATAATTTTTAAAAAGGGAAACATTTGTCAAATACTGCCTCGGAGGCTAAGAGAAAACATTTATTTTTATAAATGTCATATATAAAAATGAGATTGATTCTCTAGTATTGGAATCTCTTAAAACAAGCACAATTAAATCAGGAGTGTTAAAATATTATGGTCTTACTTCCTTAAGTTCTTGGTCTTTCTTAAAGGTGTACAGGAAAACAAAAATACAGTTCCACTTGCTATTTTGAGTATCCGGTCTATACAGTGAACATCATTTCTTATCTGGTCTTTGCTTTATTTCAGTTGAGAACCTTGAATTTCTACTTATCCCCATTATATGTTCCAATTAATAACCTCAAGTTCTTAGGCATGTGTTGCCAGGGTCTGACAATGTGATGTGATGTGAAGGTAAGCAAAGTCACTACCTGCCCAAAGAAGCAGGACTTCTATTTAGCTGCCACTGTTTGCTTCACAACCCAAAACAGGGGTCCACGAAGGAGGGTACATGCCTTTGGGGGTACATAAGTGGTCCATTGGAGTATGGAGCAAATGTATGTTCACTTGTCTTTGTTTTTAACGTCACCATTTAAATCTACTTGTTAGGATTTACAACATACCAAAAAAAAAAAAAAAATAGAGTACACACATTGTTTATAAATATACCTCTATTAGGAAATCATAATAAAACAATTTTTTTTTAACCAATAGGGCTGGAAAGCCAAAAAGCTAAGAGACCAACGTACCTACAAAAACCCAGGGAAAAACTCCCTCCCAAGAATATACAATAAATACATTTGGAATTGCGGCTCCAACATTTCCATTACTGTGATCAGGTGAGGCAATCTTAGACTAGACCTAATTCAGCCCCATGAGGCCTTAGTTGTCTACCAGGGACTCACCATGTGCTGTTCAAATCCCTACAGATGAACCCACCTCTCCAAGATCAGACAATTGCTGACAGTCATGAAGTGCTCTTGAGAATTTAAAGGATAGTCTGAAAAAAAAAGTGAAATCTTGTTTTCACCTGTTTTTTAGGCAGGTATTTACAAACGACCAAATAAGCTAAGTGGACCCACCAGAAGCAGGAAATCAAAAAACTGAAAAACTCTTCCCCTCACTAGCATCCTGTAATTATTTAGCCACGTTTATGGTAAGTGTTTCCAGAAACAGAGAATGGACTTTGAGAACAGCTCATGCCAAATACTAATCAAGTGATAACAGCGACCAGATTTTAACTTTTCAATATCAAGAACTTTTAGATGCACAATTTCTTAGGAAAGCAACCCCCTGTAGTATTTCCTTTCCAAAATGTATTTGCCAGTCGCACATCCTATCTGAATTTAGGACAATCTCTTCATATAGGATTCCCTGAGTGTGGGCTCGGGGAGAGGAAACTGCCAATTTCTGTGTAACGCACTAACCTTAAAAGCTTTCTGAAGCTGACACATTTTAAGGTGCCAGATGAGAGCACAAACCTCAAAAAGAAAACGAAAACAATTAAACCTTCTCAAACATGAAAACAGACAAGCCTCCTTGGAAGAACAGATGATCCTTACCCCCCCCCCCGCCATACACATTTCCATTCCCTTCATCTAGACACCTCTGCTAGCGATCTTCTTCAGTGTTCGCTCCGACATGCTACCGAAGCGCTTCATTTCTTTCTTGCCCTTCTGTTTTCTATTCAACTCGTGGCTGCTGCGCGTTCATCTAAACCTATGCTCAGCAGCGAAGTGCAGGATATTCAAACCACAGCTCCCTAAGCAAGCACAGGATCATTTGTGTAAAGGCGTATATTTAATAAAAACCAGCCGCCCTCCCTGCCCACTTTATCACGCTCCGAACTTGGAAACCCAAGTCTCGCCTACCCCTCGCCGAGCAGTTTCGGAGGGGCGGGCAATACCCGAGGTGGCGCTACGGTAAGACACGGTCCTCCTCCTGCTATTCTGGGAACACCCTTTATCCCCAGGGGCCAATACGAGCCTAGCTTGTCACCACTGCCCGTCCCGGAGGGGGCACTCCTCGTCCCCCGCCCCGTCCAGTCCCGGGCCGGCGGCGAGGGGCGCCCGGGAGGAGCGCGGTGGTCGGCGGGCGGCGCCGCGGCCCTGGGCCTCGGCCAGGGATGAGCTCAGCGGCCCCGCCGGGTGTTGCCGGCAGGTTGCATCAGACGCCGCGCGGGGCCGCCGCCCGCGCCGCGGGGCCGCGCAGGGCCTTCCCGGCGAGCCCGGCCTCCTCAGGCCGGGCCGGGGCTCCTCGGGCCCGGTCGGCGCTCAAGCGAGCGGCCGGCTCCGCCGCGGCCTCCTCCTCTTCCCTCATCCCGCCCGCCCGCGGCCTCCTTACCTGCGCCTCCAGCCCGCCCGCCCCCAGGCGGCCTCCACTCCGAGCGGCCCCGCGCGGCGCGGCCCGACGGACCCAGGCCTCGCAGCCAGCGAGCCAGCGAGGAGGAGCGACGGTTACGAAACCGGCAGCCTCCGCCCGTTCCGCCGCCGCCGCCACCACCGGCTTCCCCTCCTTGCCCGAGCCGCGCGCGCTGCCGCCGCTGCCACGACCAATAGGCGCACCGGCCTGCGGGCGTCGCTCCCTCCCCTCACGACGGGCAGCGCCGCCAGCCAATCGCGAGCGTTCTGGCTGCGAGAGGCGGGCACGTGGCGGAGGCGTTGGCCGCGGCGCCGCAGGGCCGGAGGGTGTGACGGGAGAGGCCGGCGGCTTCTGGCGCCGCCCGCATCCTTCGCTGGTCGCGCGGGGCGGCGGCCCGGGGCTGTGGGAACTCCGAGGCGAGAGCGGATCTGTGAGAGTTGGAGGCGCTGGGGAGCTGTAGCCTCGCGAAGGCAGCACCTGTCTTTGGGAAGTACAACTTCCTGAGGTGTTTTTGAATCACCGACGTCCGCCTGGGTTTCTCCGAGTCCTCTGGGAGGACCCCTGGGCTCCCCTCGCGGGGACGGTCCCCAGAGGGGCCCCCGCGACGCCCCTCTCGGGCGCCCGACGGAGCCTGGAGGACAGGGCAGGACTTCGCAGCACTGACGGCAGCTGCAAGCTTGCCGGACAACGCAATGAAGTGGCATTTTCCCAGCGTAGGGTTAGTACTGATGTCACATCGGCTGGTGAGCGCGGCAAACCGAGGTTCGTTTCCACCCGGAAACGATCGGATTTCCGCGATCGATTCCCGTGTGCCGTCTGCCAGGTGAACGGGATGAGAGACGGGATCTCAAAAAACGCGCGGCGGTCCGGTTTAATGTAACCAAGACACATCACGGGAGGATCTGAAAGCGTTTTAAAACCAGGAAGCCGCGCGCTGGGCGGAGGGCAGAGCCAGCGCGATAGGTTTGATTGCTTCCTCTTTAGCAATTCTTATCGTCCAAAAAAGAGTCTTTGAAAGAGGAAACATTTCTTCATCGCCCAGGCCATGGCACCAGCTCTCCGCACAAGACTGTTTCGAGGAATCAGTTAAAGGCATGATAAAAACCCTTGGGGGGGAAAAAAAACCATAAAGATAAAACATAAAAAGGGCTGTAACTAAAAGCAAACAGCGATAACCATAGCACCATACTTGATAGCAAGACACAGTCATCAAAACCACTGTTTCTTTTACTTCGGCCCTCGGTGTTCTGATTTGCATTTTCTTTGAGATGTTAGCACTATTAAAACTGGATTGTTTTATTGTTCACAAAATCATAATTTTCACCCTCACCATTTGCTAATCACAAGTTATATAGGGAAAAGTTTTTTTTATACATATACTCACTTACCTTCTGGCTCGCTAACCACTCTGCCAAGCTGCTCTAGCATTCTCTGGGCAGGCCTTCTACAGTCAGCAGGTCTGGTCAATGCCAAGGAGACGCCAGTATTCATTTCCTCCTCAGGTGGTGGCTGGAAATTCTACCACTTAGTATACAAATACTTATTTGGTGCCAACTTGGTGCTAAGCTGCAGGCTAAGTGGTGGCGATTCAGCAACAAACAAAATCGTAGCCCTTGCCCACATCAAGTTCACACTTAGAGCCAAGGAGACAGACATTCAGTACTTACACCATTTTTCTGTTACTTTTTTCATACATATGACAAGGAAGTACAAGACTGTGAGATCAAAAGAAGGGAGCCACACGTGGTCTGTGGGGCAGGGAAGGCCTAAAAGACGAATGGCATTTGGCTCCGGGGTGCAGATGAAGTGGATGGACCAGTCCAAGGGAATGTCTTATCGAGAAAGGTTTTGTGATGGGGAGAAATGTAAGGCCAGAGTAGAGCGGCTGGAGCACAGTGTCCCAGTGGAGGCCGATGAGATTGATAAGGCCTGTGGCCCAGGAAAGGTTCTGATGTTTACCCTAAGAGAGATGGGAAGCCTTGGAAAGATTTGCTCTCACCGTCAGGGAATAAGGAAAGCCTGGTGGAGGCTGTCTCTGGGTTGAAGAGATCCGCCGTGTGGCTTTCTTCCAAGACACAGGGACCTAAGCTCTCATAATAAAAGATTCCCTGCACAGAGCTCTGCCTTGCTGATACCCACGATATAGTCTACCAATCCAAAGAATTGGTAAACAAAATAGTACATTAAAATCTCTAAAGGGCTTGAGAAGTAGGATGCCTTGTTAGTCGATTATACTATTTACCTGAGAGCTACTATGATTATCTTAGTTACCTAACAGGTATGCACTGTAGTGTCAGGCTGTTCTCTCCACAGTTTACCCTCTTAAAGGTCGTGTGACCTTGGGTAAATTATGTAACATCCCCATCATCTGTAAATGGGCATAACAACAGTATCTACCCAGTAAGATTGCTGTGGGGGGTTAAAAAGTTCATATGTGTTTGGCCCCTTGAACAGTGCCTGCCTGGTACATGGTAGGAACTCAAAAGTTGTAGCTATTATTACCATGATGAATTATAAACAAGTTATAGTGTAGAATTAGAGTAGACTAAAATACACTTCAAAACAAGGTCAAGCTGTGCTTTATACAGCTTTGGTGATTCAGTCACTGAAATACACATATCAAGAGTGCTATGTTGACCTTATAGTGTATCCCAAAAGGTGTTTTTTAGAATGTTTTTTTCTCAGTGACCACATCTTAATTCATTTGTCTCCCCAAAGTAGAGTGAGGAAAATTTGAACAATTTCAAATCTCTTGCTGTTTAGAAAGCCAGATCCATAAAAGTTTACTTTGTAAACTTAAGCATTTATCAAAAATGTGTCTTAAGTACTTATGATAATATTTAAGTGCTTATCATAAATTTATATTTGGAAAGCTTCTGAAATATAATATATAAAATTAACCATCTTTGATAGGAGATCTGGGTCATATCTATGTTTTGAGTATTGAAATAACATCACAGGGTTGTGTCTCAGTAGATATTTATTGTGATATATTAGCAATAATATGACAGTGATTGTCAATCATTCTGCATTGGTAAAAACCATCCCTGACTACCCTTAGCATAAAGAAGGACTTGGTCAAAGATTGGAGGGCATGCTTCATGAAGTACCCGTCCCATGTCAGAATAGAAAACCCAAATGCTCAAATGTCTTCATGTCTGTGTGTATGTGTGTGCCTGTTGGTTTCATTGTTCTTTCTGCTTGCACGTCAGCTTCCCCTTGTCACAGACAGCCTCAACATCCACAGTTTAGGTCACTAAAGTAAAGCCAACTCTCTTTTTAAGTTCCTGTTACAAAAGTCTTAGGTAAGGACTCTGGGATTGGCCCAGCTGGGTCAAGTGCTTATCCCTGGAATAATCAAATGGCCAGGAACAGGTCACGATGTATGAGGAAGTGGCAGAGGCACCCCCCAAGGGTAAAGGAGTGCTGAGCAGATGGGCTCGTCAATATCCACTTCAGACGGCACATCACACTATGGTCAGTCTACGGGAACCTCAGTCACTCTGGCTGACTGATTTGTTCCTTCCCATGTGATAGGCTCCCTAGCCTTGAGGGCAAAATTGACACCTCTAATTTTACCTTTGGAAAGCACTAATTCGGCTAATTCGGTTAAGATGCTGAATAGTTGTCTTAGGATACCTGAACTTTCACAACCAACCCAGTTCATAAAAGGGAAAAATCTGACAATTTAAACTTGAACAGTTAGCAAATACTATGAATGTCCATTATAAAGTGCTTTCCCACATGTCAGATTTCATTACCCTGTGAGTTAAGACATGTCACTTGTACACTTAAGAATGTCATATGTTGGGGGGGGTGGTATCTGGGTGGCTCAATCGGTTGAGTGGCCGACTCTTGGTTTTGGCTCGGGTCACAATCTCACAGTCATGGGATCGAGTCCTGCATTGGGCTCCACACTGAGCATGGAGCCTCCATGGGATTCTCCTAATTTCTAAATGCCATCACATCTGGGATTAGGGCTCCAACATTTGCATGGGGAAGGACACAAACATTGACTCCACAATAGTATGTCAAAGGGTCCCAAAGCCAAATGAAAGCAGCCCCAGTGCCCAAAGAGACCCAATGCCAATTTGAGTGGCAAAATAAATGACGTGGTATTGGATTATAATCCAAAGTATAAAATAAATATCCATATTGATATAAATAAGTGATTAAGTAAATAAATGTCAAAGAAGAGACAAATCTCCCATGCATAAGAATTCCATATAATTTATGTAAATACTCCACCCATAGATGGTGTAACTACCCACACCTTAAGAGGGCTATACACAATGACTTCCTTCTGAAGAGTAGACCCTGAAAGGGAAAAATAAGAACTTTACAGTGGAGAAAACTGACAGTCACTACTCCAGCCAGGTGACTAAGGTCAACATCAATGGTCATAAATCGTGTTGATATAATGAGGTGAAGATGGCACTTGACCTCTTCAGTTTCCTCCCAAGACCTCGCAACCTCAGTCTAACCAGGAGAAAAATACCAGACAGCTTCCAGCAGAAGGGCATTCCACAAAATACATCACCAGTGCTCCTCAAAACTTCCAACATCACAAAAAACAAGGGAAGTCAGAGGAAGTCTGGAGAATCCTCAGGAGGTGACAACTAAATGTAACGTGGTACCCTAGATGGAATCCTGCAACAGAAAAGGGATACTGCGTAAAAATTAAGGAAATCTAAATAAATGTCTACTTTATTTATTTGATG